CAATATATCCAAATATTACCTTTCAACGTGTAATCAATGCAGAGATTATTAGAGATATTTTACTCACTTTTATCTTTCAAAGTCTTCGAGACCTGAAATCTGTTGTGTATCTTACACTCACGGCTCATCTGCATTTGCACGCTCCATTTGCACACTCACGGCTCATCTGCATTTGCACGCTCCATGTTTCAAGCGCTCCCCTGCCAGCCGTGGCTTGTGGCCCCCGGAGTGGACAGCGCAGCCCTCGAGTCCTTGTCTCTGCTAGGGACTAATGTCGTGCCTCCCGGGGTCTGGTCTGCAAGGCCCGGGACAGGGGCCCAGCGCATAGTAGGTGTACAGGACATGGAGTCACTCGTGTTCTCTCCTCCAAGACCCCTGCCAGCGGCTGACTTGGAAGCCCCCAGGCCTGACCCTCTCAGACACCTGGAGGGAAGTCACTCTGCCACGTCCCGTTGCTGAGCCTCTACTGCGTGCAGCTGGTGGGCTCGGGGCTTGCTCCCCACGGAAATCTCGCCCAGAAAGCAAACCGGAGCAGAGACAGCAGCCCGAGCGGCCATGTGAGCCAGGATTAGGGGTGGCCTCTATGCCCGGTCATGTCCGAGCGGCACATGACCAGCAGGACTCAGCGTTCCATGGCCGCTCGGGGTGGGGGACCAGCGCCCCGTGCAGGTGGGTCCCAAGGGCCCGGAGGGGGTGGGGCAGTGCCTGGAGGGCAGTCCCTTTCCTGCTCAGAACCTTCCAGGCTGCCACGGCACTCACACACCCTGGGTGCCCAGCACCCCAGCCCTGCCCCCGCCTCCAGCCTCCAGTTTACCCTCAATGCGATGCTCCTGCAGTTTCTGGAATATGCCATCGGCTTTCTGGCCTCCAGGTCTTGGCTGTCGCCTTCCCCCAGAACCCCCTTCCCTGAGCTCACCTCCAGGCCACTCTGGGTCACTCTGACCCACCCTCAGGTCTCGACTTGCCCACCGCCCTACCTAGGAAGCACTCCCCAACGGTCCTGATGCGGTACGGGGCCAGCGGGACTGCCCGACCCTGTTCAGTGTCCCTGGGGCCCTGACTTTCTAATGAGCATCCCTAGAACGCAAGGTTCACCCCCAACTCTTATGTCCCTCCCACCCCCTGCCCTCTCCCACCCCATGGCAGGAGACAGCTGAGTTGGGGACACATTCACCACCGCCACCAAGCCCATTTCCAGTTGACAGAAAGACAGGTCAGGAGGGGCCGGGCCACAATTCTCGTTCAATAGACGAAGAAATAGGCCTGGGGCAGGTTCGGGTGGCCAGAGGCTGGAGGCCACCAGGCATGAGGAGTGACCATGAAGGTACAGGTGGCCCAGTGTGGGCCTCAACTCCCTGAAGGGAGCACAGCAACCGGCACCTGGAGCACCCCAGGGCAAGATCAGCACAGGGTCACGACGAGAAAGACCTAGCTCAGATGGGGTGGTGAGTTCCCCGCCCCTGGAGGCATAGAAGCGACGGCACCAGGTGCTGGGAAAGAGATCGAAACTTTGCACCGAGGTCGATCTGCCTCTTTAAGGGGCTTCCCTTCAGCTCTCCAGATTTGAGCATGGCCCAAGGTCATAGGCAAGGCCTGAAGGGGCCCGTCCTACCCACCCAGGCCATTCCCCGTCTCGGGGCCAATCATTAATTGGCATCGCTTGAGTGGCTGCTCCCACGAGTGCCCCCGGCTGCCTGCCAGCTCAGGGCCGGGCTCCCATCCTGCGCCCAGGGCACCCGCGTGCCTCTGACAGGGGCCACGTCCTGCTTGTGACTCCCAGCGGCCGAGCCCTGCGAGGAACAAGGTACCTGCTCAGACCACCATCGTGGCACCCAGGGGGACTCCTGCTCCCCAGCAGCCAGGGCCCTCCTGGGTGAGGGTGGCCAGCGGGAGACCTCCGCCTGGGCTTTGGAGAGCCCACCCCGCCGGGGCAGAGGGCCAGGAGAACCCGAAGCAGGTGCTCAGCTGGCCTGGGGCTGAGACGCCCGGAGATGAGGCACTGCGGTGTGACTAGGCCCGGCTGTGGGCAAGGGGCAGCCAGGCAGGGGTGAAAAGGTGTTGCCCCCGAGGGAAGTCAGATGTGACTCAGCAGAGCAGAGGGGACAGTCCCGGGCCAGAAGCAGCAGGAGCAAAGTCCCAGAGGAGGGACGGCGAGGAGGAGGCATCGGCCACGGCCGAGGCCCCAGGCTGGAGAAGGAACGGAGGGAGGCAGCGGTGACGTGTACGGGACCGACTCGCACTCCAAGCTGAGGAGTTAACTTTATCCTGGGCGACGCGGAGCTACTGCAGGTTTTAGGGGACGGGAGCGACCCAGCATGGCTGGAACTGGGTGGGGACAAAAGGAGGCGCTGCCAGCTGCCAGGGGAGGATCGGAGAGGCCTGCTCTGCAGTGGCCTTGGGCAGAGCGCAAGAGTGGACAAGGGGGTGACACCAGGTCTCTGGTGGAGAGTGGGAGGAGGCTGGGCGCGGGAGATTTAAGCAGCGAGATGCTGAGTGTGTCGAGCCAGAGGTTCCCGTGGGTCAGCCTTGCTGAGCATGCCACGGAGCGGCCATGCTGGTCTTGGCCTAGGGGGCAGTTGACTGGAACGGGGCTGAGAAGGAGCAGCCGGAGACGCAAGAAGAAGCCCAGGCAAGGAAGAGGAGGTCGCTCAGCCACACGAAGGTCACGAATGGCCTGGGCACTGACGGTGGGAGGGAGAGAAGGCGGGGGAAGGGGACAGTGGGTGCGGACGGCTCTGTCAAAAAGTTTGCCTCTGAAAAGCTCATGAAAGCGAGGACAGGCTCCCCAGAAGCAAAGCCCGAGACGCCTGATGTCGACGGAGCCCAGGGCATGGGGAGCACCCAGAGCAGCCCCACCTCGAGGCAGGGGCAGCCTCAATGACCGCCCCCAGCCCCGTGCAGTCAGTCCTTGGCTGTGGCTGCACCTCCCTGCGGGCAGAGCTGTGGACCCTCCCGGGCTTCAAGAAGGAACAGGGTGAGCTGATAACCGCCATCCTCACAGCCCCGGGCTATGACGCTCAGCAAAGGTGAGCTGCACTGGGCACTGACGGTGTCCACTGTGGGGGCAGGTCACTGGTGGGGGCCAACGCCACAGGCTTTGGATGGTCCCAGGAGGCCAGCATGTACTGGGGTACTGACGGCGAATCCCCCCGCCTGGAGCCCAGCCTCCCGCACTGCCTGAGTCTCAGGGTCCCACGTAAAGTCCAAGCTCCCAGCCCTCTGCCAGGCCCAGCACCGTTCCCACTGCCTGTCTCTCTTTGCACAGTGAGGCCACGAGGATTTCTAGAAAGGAGACTTTGATGAGAACCCAGCTCCGCCGTCTAAGCCGTGTGGCTGCGGGCCGCCTCACAGCTCCCCGGACCTCAGTGCCGCCCTGTGCAGTGGGGACGCTCACAGCTGCCTCAGGGCCCGGAGTCTCAGGGCTGAGGGGCCAGGCAGGCAGGTGGGCCCCTGGCACAAACCAGGCCCGGGGCCGACACCCTGCCAACTGCCTGGATGGGCGGGCAGCCCCACCTCCCCAGCTGGCACCTGGAGGGAGGAGCCGCACTTGGGTGGTGGGGCCCCAGGGTGGCCGTGCCAGGTGCCACCCACAGGCTGTTCACCGCAAAGGGGCCCCTGGGGGCTTTTCCCTGTGCCACCCTTAGCCCCACGCCAGGCGTTCCAAGCCCCGCAGAGCTCAGGCTCTGGCCTGGGTCCCGGCAGCTGTGGCTCCTTGGCTCTCTGGGACCGGAAGGACATGCTGTGCCCACACGTTCAGAGGCCCACCTGTGCCCGTAGGCTGGAGTCTAAAATAACAGGGCACCCCCTGCCTGCCCGGTACTGCACCCCGACTTATCACTCTCCTCCATCTGACCCTCGCAAGGGCCTGGAGGGGTGGGTTGTGTGACTCACCTCACCATCACTCAACAGCCATTTACTGAGCACCTACTGCACGCAGGCCCTGGGAGAAGCGTGCGGACCTGCTCGCGCAGAGCTCATGTTATAAATGGGGAAACTGAGGCCCTGAGCAGCCCGAGCGCCACGCCCAAGCTCACACAGCTGGATTCAAGGCCAGGTCAGGCCTCGGAAGATGCACTTTTCCCTTTAAGCCCCTCCCTGGGCCTCGGTCTCCTTGCCTATAAAATGGGCACGATGGAGCCTCCCCAGGGCCATGAGGACATGGGGACGTGGCTTGCGGCCTGGGGACAGCACACAGTGTGGGGAGGCACGGCCAGCAGAGGCCTTGCCACTCTGCCTGATGTGCTACGGTGGCTGCCGCCACCCATGGCATTGGAGGCACACCCCTTGCCCCGTCCCGACTGCACCTGTGCACCCCACGCACTCGCCTCCAGCTTTCGCGCTCCTCCGTGCTCCCCCACGGGTCGTGTCATAGCATCCCTCACACAGCTGCCATCCCCTCTGCCTGGAACCTCTGCCACTCGCGGGATTGTGGCAACATTTATACAGAACTTCCTGTGGGCCGGGCACCACTTCCTGTGGGCCAGGCATCGAGCCCCCCAACAACCCCATGCAGAAACCACTACTGTCATCCCATTTCCAGATACAGCTTGGAGACACAGAGGGACAAAGGTCCTGGGCACATACAGCAGCTCAGCAGTAGGGCGTGCGCCTCTAATCTGCACCCTACTGGACACCACCAGCCTGGCCAGCTCACGTCCACACCAAGATGACATCCCCCGGCCCCACAGCCCAGAGCAATGACTCTCATCCACCCACACAGGCTGGTTCCCATTGACACCTCCCTTGTTCCAGACTCGGCAGAGTCCCAGAGGGCCAGGCCAGGTCTGGGTGTCCCTGGGTTCCCAGGTACCCAACCCCCAGGGCACAGACCAGCTGTGTGGAAATGCTCTAGCAAAAAGATTGGTCAGTGAAGGCGGCACAGAACAGAGAGCGTGGGAGGCCTGGCCCAGCCCGGCCTCTGGTGGGTGGGCAGGAGGCCAGGCCCCTAGGCACCAGGAGCCCGGATGGCATGGTCCCCACAAGCCCAGAGGCGCCCTTACCTACTCGGAGCTCTTGCCCGAAGACAGTCTTCTCACCGAGGGCAGAGCAGTTCCAGCGTCCGAAGCGGAACTGGTACTGGCACTCGTTGATGCCCATCTGCGCCCCCTCCCCGATCACGATGATGGCATCGGGCCGGCTCTGGCAGATGGCGCGCTGCCGCGGGGCCAGACCAGGGATCTTGTTGCAGATGATGTTGGCTCCCAGGGCCACGACAGACGACAGCGCTCTGCGAAGAGAGACAAGACGCCGAGAGGTGAGCTGGCTGGGCGGGTCCTCTGCCCTCGGCCTCTCGGGAAGCGAGTGTCTTCCAGGCATCCACCACGTGCCAAGTTCTGCCCACCAGGGGTCACTTTCCACTGATCCACACATGTGACCCTAGCTTGAAAACGCACACACACCTGTGGCCTCTCGACCTTGAAATCGCAAGAACCACAGGATTGCAAGACATGAAACCACAAGTCCCACGAATCAAGTGTAATCTGGGGAATTGCAAGGCCCGTGAATGCAAGAACCATGGCTCTTCATGCCTCTGAATCAGAAACACAGACCGTTTGGGGATTCGACAGCCATCAACTCAGGACTGTGCGCATCTGACCCCAGCAGCAAAACCCCACTCCCATCACCGGAGACCTGGCTCCCTGGGGGGCATCTGGCCAGGCTGGCTGCCGAGTGGGTGGCCAGGCTGCAAGCCAAGCCCACTGGGTCCTGGCTCCAGCTAAAGCTTGTGACTGACCTCAGGAAGGCACTCTGCCTCCCTGCGCCTCAGTTTTATAGCTGTGAAATGGGGGTGTAAAACACCTCTCTCCATCATCACTACCGTGACACAAGCTCAGAGCAGAGAGGGGGGCTGCACACGTAGGGAACTGCCGTTACTGTTCACTCATTTCCGGATGGCAGGGGTACCCAGAGGAGGAAACAGGTCCTGACATGAATTGAGCACCTACTGTGCGCTGGACTCAGCAGGCAGGGTGCTTTACGACAGCATTCGTCCTCAGAACAGCCACCTGAAGGTGTCTTTTAATTAATCTCCTGGCACTTAGTACAAACACAGCCTTGTGCAACCACCTCCTCCACCAAGTTCCAAGATATTATCACCATCCTGAAAAGAAAACCCATGCCCTTCAGCACTCAGTCCTCAATCTCTCCTCCCCGGCCCCCCGACCACTGACCTGTTCTGTCTCCATGGACTTGCCTATGCTGGACTTCTCATATAGACAGAATCACACAACACGGGACCTTTCGTGTCTGGCTGCTTTCACTTAGTGTGATGTCTGCCAGGTTCATCCACGCTGCAGCACGTGTCAGTACTTCATTCTTTTTTAAGGCTGAATACTATTCCACTGTCTGGAGAAACCACATTCTGCCCATCCACTTATCAGTGACGGACATTCGGGTTGTTTCTGCCTGCTGTGAACGGTGCTGCTAAGAACACGTGTGGACACGATTGTGTTTGAATCCCTGTTTTCAGTTCTTCGGGGCATGTATCTAGGAGTGGAATTGCTGGGTCACGTGGCAGTTTGTTTAGCTTTTCGAGGCACCGCCACCTGTTTTCCACAGAAGCGGTGCCAGTTGGTTGGAAGCACCTGGACGAGAAGGGACAGCAAGCTGGAAGGAGGCGAGGACTATGGGCACAGGCTGGGTTTCCAAACAGCACCTGGCTTCCCAACCACAGGCTGGCCTGCTCGGTGAGGGGCCAGGGCGGGAGCAGGGGAGACGACGAGGGGCTCCCCAAAGCTGACGCCCATGGCCCTGGCCCCGGCATGGGGAGTCGCCGCCTTCTACTCATCGCCTGCCAGCCCCTTTCTTAAGAGAAACAAGCCAGTGTTTTTCCAGGGTGGCCGAGCACCCACAGCCAGCTGGGAAAGTCCCCGTGTGGTGTGAGCCCACAGCATACGCTGTGACCAGGATGCCCGACCGACACTCAATCCCCACGGCCCGCCCGCCCTGCCCGCTAATCTGCCCAGGACCCCCCAGGTCTCCCACGGGCACAATGGGCAGGAACTTGGAGGCTGGCATGGAGGAAAAGCATCTGGGCGGGTGGGGCTGGGAGCGGGCTGGAATCTGGGGAATTCAGCCCAGAGTAATTGTAGATGCGCAGAAAACCGACCCGGGGAAATGAGATGGATGGGAACCCTGCCGGGCACCAGCCTCCAGGCCACAGGTCAGCGCCCGCTTTGGTCCTGGACCCTACACGCACGCGGTCCGTTCCCGCGGGCTCGGGCTGCAGAGCCCCACTGCCCGGGGCAAGAACCCCGGCTGGGGGCAGAAACTTGGACAAACAGGGTCTGACTAGGGCAATGGCAGTGGGACCTGGAGCAGAGGTTGGGGGATGAAACATCATTGCAGCCCTGGTCCCCCACCTCCAGCCGGCTACCCCAGCCTCGGAGCCGGCACCCAGACATGACTATGTGACTCCCCTGCTCGAAGCCACAGCTCCCCAGGCTCCTTTGCCTAGAAGTGGAGGCCCCTTGGGATCTGGCCTCTGACGACCCCTGCCACCTTTGCTTGAGCTGGTCCCTCTGCCATTCTCCCTCCCTTTCTCTGTCTGACAAAAGCTGCTTCCCTTCCAGGGCCAAGTACAAGCCCCATGGGGATCAAACCCCTCGGCCCTAGGCACCGAGGACCTGCGGTGAAGTGGGCACCAGTACTAACCTCACCTCCGGCCTCACGGTCATTGTCTCCACGCCCGGCTTCCCCACCAGACCTCGGACACCTCGAGGGCAGTGCCCAGTCTGAGCTGACTCTGGGCCCTTGGGGGCTGGCCCGTGCCACCGTACGGGAGTGTTTGCGCAACCGATGAATTAATGAACAAATGAGTAAGTATTCAAGGGTCATGCCTGAAACAGTCCCTACAGCTCAAGCTCAAAAAGACGACCCAATTCGACAATGGATAAAGGCCTCGAATAGACATTTCTCCAAAGAAGACGTGCAAATAGCCAAGGAGAAGGTGAAAAGAGGGGAGGCTGGGACCCTCACGCAAGGCTGGTGGCAACGTAAAGGGGTGCAGCCCGTGTGGAGAGGTTGGGAAGTTCTTCAGAAAGTTAAACGTCGAAAGACCGCAGGACCCAGCAACTCCACTCCTTGGTATGTATCCGAAAGAACCGAGGATAGGCCTTCAAACAAAAACGTGAACACACGTGTTTTGGCATCAGGGTTCACCATCACCAAAAGGAAGAAACAACACAAAAGTCCATCGACGGATGAATGAATAAACAGAATGTGGTCCATCCAGACAGTGGAATACTATTCAGCCCTGAAAAGGAACGAAGTCCAGATCCCCGCGACTTGGATAAACCCCCAAAACACGATGCCAAGTGAAAGAAGCCAGATGCAAAAAACCACATACTGTACGAAATGCCCCGCGAAGGCAGAGACAGGAAGTAGACCGGTGGGTGCTGGGGGACGGGCGGGGGCTGGGGGAGCAGTTGGAGGAGGGAGATGGGGGAGGGGGAGTACCTGCTTAATGGGCGTGGAATCTCCATCTGGGGCGAGGAAGTTCTGGAACTAGATCGGGGTGGCGGTTACACAACACTGTGAATGTGCTAAATGACACTGACTTTAAACCAGTTGTGGCGAATTTTATGTTATGTGTATTTTCACCACGATTTTAAAAAATTCTGTCTATGCACAGGACTTCTATACCCTGGCCGTAGGGGTTTGGGGGAAGGAGAGGGGCCCTGCCCAGTTGACACCCCGCTTGTACTCGCCGTATGCTTCCCGGGAGTGGGGGGCTGATGGGGTAGGGGAACAGGAGCCCCCAGAATGCCAGTGTGTGGGGTACAGGTGAAATACGGGCATGAGGAACAAGTCGCACTGTTCCTCATCCGGGGAACATAAATGATCAGATACAGTTCATAGTTCAGAAATAATTTCAAAATCGTCTTCCTTAGGATGCGAGGACCTTCCCCCTGAGGATATTAAATTCTCCCCACTCTGAACACCAGCCTTGGACAACCAGCCTCCGCGGGGCCTTGGTCCTCCCTGGAAAGGTAGCGCTGCTACCCCCATGTTAGAGATGTGCAGACTGGAGCTCAGAGAGGCTGGGGAACCCGCCCAAGGCCACACGGCCAGGCTCGGAGCCCCGTCTCTCGCTTCCAGAAGTCAGGGAGGCAGCGCTGAGGCTCAGAGTGTGGCACACAGTAGGTGCACAACAAATACTCTTCATTCTCAGAACCCAGCTTACATCCTTCCCCTGCTTACAATCCTCCAGGTCACCCTTGAACTCGTCCAGGTTTACAGACACTTCTACTGCTGGTGATTGAGGTCTGAACGGTGGTGTCTCCTTCCTTGTCCTCCCCTCCCCCACAGCCTGCACACGCCCGGCCCCGCCGCACCCCAGGACTTGCCCACGCTC